ATATCACAATATTTGCCAGTAGCGCATCCTTATGTAATCATCGAGCCCTCCCCTTTCCAATCAGCTCAAGAGGTACAGGGACCTGGGCCCTGGCTAAGACTTTTTAGGGTAAACCTGGGGGATGTGTCTGAGTAGAGCCCAGTGGTCATAATTTGTCTAACTCTGCGTTTTATATACTGACTATAAAGTTTTTGAATAGAAAGTGGCTGTGATTTTGTATCTTTCTTACTTGTCTATATTTTATCTCCGATGCTGTTTAGTTTACTATTTTTTTTTTTATTTGAAAAGAATTGACTTGTATTTGTTTTTTTTTTAATTGAAACCTTGTATAAGCAGCTCAAGACAAGGTTTTTTTTTACTCGACAACATCAAAGAAAAACAAAGATGAAATGTATTCTGCATAATTATGTTAGTGTTTTAATTTATTTTATAATTTTTGTTTGTTATTCTCTACTATTTCATTATAATTACGTGTAGCCAAAATGTAAATAAGAATCTGTAGTTGAAAAATAAGTTTTAAAAAGATGGATGCCTTAGTAACAAAAGGTGTATGTTGATGGATAGCGTTGTATACATATCTACGCCCTGTTGGCGGTCCATAACCGGTGATCGATTTAGATGCCCACACACCAGTCCAGTAGACTGGGTTCCAGTCCCTAATCTTTGTCTCATCAGTTGAAATGCTTAAGAATAAATCGATTTTGGCACAAATGGCGTTCCATATTACTTATTTGCATGGCGTTCCATAGTATACTTTTTCTGGGATTCTAATTATCATTAAAAAAAAAAGTTTCTAAACATAAACTGACGCTGGTGGCGCTTTCCGAAATGAGCTAAAATGTACTACGAAAAAGTGAGACTTGTGGCAAGTCTACAGTCCCAGGTCTGGACAGCTAGGCCTGAAAGACGTAACAGTTCTTGCCTTGAGTGTTGCTTGAACACCTTTCTTTCTCTATCCTCTCTCCTGGCGGTATTGTTAAAAAGGTACGTACATTATACGTGTATCACTATTTTTACCATGGATGAATTATTCCTAGTTTACAACAAATTAAGTCTTACTTATTTGTATTATTATATTATTATATATTTTTCATTCTGTTCGAAAGGCAGGCCTCATGACCTCTATCCTAGTTGACCTGAAACAGTGCGAATTTTGTGCATTTTTGCTTATGACAACACGTGTGATAGATATGGAATAAACATATATAAAATATATAGAATACTCTTATTTTAGTAACAAGTACTACCAGTGGCGTACGTATAGGGGTGCGTGGAAGAGCCCTCAAAAAGCTCGTGCCTCCAACCACTAGAAAATTTTGAAGAAAAAACATATTACACTCACTTATAAAATCATCTCATTCATATATCACAATATTTGCCAGTAGCGCATCCTTATGTAATCATCGAGCCTTCCCCTTTCCAATCAGCTCAAGAGGTACAGGGACCTGGGCCCTGGCTAAGACTTTTTAGGGTAAACCTGGGGGATGTGTCTGAGTAGAGCCCAGTGGTCATAATTTGTCTAACTCTGCGTTTTATATACTGACTATAAAACGAATTCGTAGGGGGCGAGTTTGTTAGGAGGCGAGTTTGTTAGGAGGCGAGTTTGTAGAGAGGGCGAGCGACTGTGTTGTTGGGGGGGGGGGCGGCGAGTTGACAAGGGGGCTGGCGTTATGAAGCACACTATCATACTTCTGAATCCGTGCCCCTGGCCCTCGCCCCCACTGCCAGTAATGCTGACGTGACACAAATAAATCAGATGAATTGTACGCGAGTATGCTATATGCTCCAGGGTTATTGCAGGCAAAGGGGAAATAGAATACTATCAAGGGGTGGCATCAGAATTTGCTCGATGGGGTTCCAGTGTCACTACGGGGGTGGAAGTGGACTAATATGACATTTTAGGGTATTATAGGCATATTTAACCGATTTAAGAATCTACTATTCTAATATCCCAGGTAACAATCCCACATGGGGCCCATATGCAAAATATCTGGGAAAAGTTTTATGGGCTACCCCATATTTTTCCCTTATGGGATCCATCTGGGCAATCGCATATGGGCCTTGCCCATGGTTTACCCATATGGACCCCATATGCCAAATATATAGGCAAATATATATGGGAATGCCCATATTTAAAGTACATGGGCCCCATATGGTAAATACCTGGGCAGATAAATATGGAAATGCCCACATTTAATCCGCATGGGGCCCATGTGCCAAATATCTGGGAAAATACATATGGGCATGCCCATATTTATCTACATGGGGCCCACATGCCGAAGACCTGGGTAGTTAAATATGGGTATGCCCATATTAATTTAGTATTGGGGCCATGTGCCAAATATCTGGGAGAATACTTATAGGCATGCCCACATATAATATACCTGGGACCCATATGCCAAATACATGGGCAAGTAAATATGGGAAGCCCATATTTAATCCAAATGGAGCCCATGTGCCATATATGTGGGCAGTTACATATGGGCATGCCCATATTTAATTTCTATGTGACCCATATGCCAAATAACTGGGCATATAATTATGGGAATGCCCAAATTTAATTCACATGGGTTCCATGTGCCAAATATCTGGGAAAATACATATTGGCATGCCCATATTTATCTACATGGGGCCCACATGCTAAAGACCTGGGTAGTTGAACATGGGTATGCCCATATTAATTTCGCATTGGACCCATGTGCCAAATATCTGTGAAAATACTTATGGGCATGCCCATATATAATATACATGGGACCAATATGTCAATTTCCTGGGCAAGTAAATATGGGAGGCCCATATTTAATCTAAATGGAGCCCATATGCCAGATATATGGGAAGTTACATATGGGCATGCCCATATTTATTTTGCATGGGACCCATATGCCAAATAACTGGGCATATAATTATGGGAATGCCCACATTTAATCCACATGGGTTCAATGTGCTAAATATCTGGGAAAATACATATTGGCATGCCTTTATTTATCTACGTGGGGCCCACATGCTAAGGACCTGCGTAGTTGAACATGGGTATGCCCATATTAATTTCACATTGGGCCTATGTGCCAAATATCTGGAAAAATATTTATGGGCATGCCCACATATAATAAACATGGGACCCATATGTCAATTACCTGGGCAAGTAAATATGGGAGGCCCATATTTAATCTAAATGGAGCCCATTTGCCAAATATATGGGAAGTTACATATGGGCATTCCCATATTTAATTTGCATGGGACCCATATGCCAAATAACTGGGCATATAATTATGGGAATGCCCACATTTAATCCACATGGGTTCAATGTGCTAAATATCTGGGAAAATACATATTGGCATGCACATGTTCAGTCTACATGGGCACCACATGCTAAATAACTGGGCAGATAATTATGGGAATTCCCACATTAATCTAAACGGAGCCCATGTGCCAAATATCTGGGAAAATAAATATGGACATGCTCTTGTTTAATCTACACGGGCCCCATATGCCGAATAACTGGGCGGATAATTATGGAAATAATACCCGCATTTACTCCACATGGGGCCCATGTGTTAATATTGGGCTTAAGCTAGTGTTTAATTTACACATTTACATATACCAAATAACAGGGAAGATAACTTTGGGAATGGCCACATTTAATCTACATGTGACCCATATGCCAAATATCTGGGAAAATTCATATTGCAATCTACATGGGTCCAATATGCCAAATTCCCATAGGGCCTATTGTGTCAAATATATAGGAAATAATATTTGTGCCTGTGTTTACTCTACATATATAGCCCCATATGCCAAGTAACTGGGCAGATAGCTGTAGGTATATGTAAGCCACATGGGGCCCATGTGCCAAATATCTGGGAAAATGCATGGCCATTCTTATGTTCATTCTACTTGGGCCCCACATGCCACATACCTGGGCAGATAATTATGCCCTGGATTCTCCTCTGACCCACTGTTAATTATACTTTATTTTTATACGTTATACGTAGCTACAGTTATGACATTAAATGCTCCATTGCGGTACTTTTTACTTAATAAGTGTGTGCGCATGCTCAGTAGAAATGCCAGTTTGAATGAACCTAGCTAGCGATGATCGGACCATCGGACTTAAGCCAATGAACTAGCTGTCTTGGCAGTTCCGGTGTCCCGTTTCAAGTTTTGAATTCACAAACGAAGCGCCCATTCTAGTGCCGTCGTCTTGTTTGTAGCGAGTGTAAAGGAAGGAAGATTCATAGGCCTAAGAAAAGTTGCCAAGTCACAGTGAAGTAAAAGTAAGTAATTTATACTTGTGTATAACTGTTGTTGAATTCCCCAACTATACTACTGTGCTAGGCCTAATTCGCGGCCAAAACCATTGCATTCCCTGGGCCTAGGCCTAGATACGTAGGCCTAGGCTAGGTCAGGAGGCCTTCTTGTTTAAGCGTATGTTGGTCTAGTTTCTTGAACTACTGTAGCGTTGGATCGCCAGTTAACCCTCTGGCTAGGGGCATAAGCCAAGGTATATCCTACGTTTTTGTCTTATTATATTTTTCGCCGGTGTATAGGCTAGGCCCTGTCTACCTAACTAATGTCATTGTGTATAGCCTAGCTAGGCCTAGCCTAGACTTTGTGATGTAACTTTGGTATAGGGGACCTGGCTGGCAAGCCCTTCCCACCCCCAAGCCTAGGGGGCCTAGGCTGTCCATATATGAGTCCACATATACACCAGAACATAATGTCATTGTCAAAATATTGAATTCCCACATGATGGAGTGCATTACAATTCAAAGCTGTTTTCTGTTTCTCAAGCATAAAATACTACACTTTATTTAATGGAAGTGGATATATTTACGTCATAAACAAATCAGTAAACGATATATTTACGTAAATGAAACAACGCATGCGCAGTCATACTTTAACAAACTTGCATTTTCAGCACTCAATATTATTAGCGTGGCCTCCCATGGCCGCTTTGATTCCCCCAAATTCAGTATGGCACTTTAAATTAATTTATAATTTTGTTTTTAATTTTTTATTAAACATAATTTAATTTTCTACAACAGCACAGTATGTAGTTTAATCACTAAATAAATGATTAAATCATTGTGTTAAATTTTCAAATAAAAGTGATACTGTATTATGAGCTGGAAATGTTATGTTCATCATACTCTAATCATTTGTTAAATAAACACACTTGACGTAAATACAAGGCCTAGGCCTATGCAATGTTTCATTGCTAAAACTTAATTACCAGGAATCAAGACGATATTCTTCTAGGCCTACCAGTATTGTTATATGATAGTCAATCATCACAAATTAAATAACACCCTAATGTTTTCATTCAAACAAATTTACCCACGTTGTCACTAACAAAAACAACATTGTTATATATTCTTCAGACGGGTCAAGCATCAAGCCCCAATCGATCACAAAGAACATACAGAAGACCATGTTTGGTGAGCACATGATTCACTCTAAAAAGTACTGTACGCTATGTGAAGCAAGAAGTAAACAACAAATAATCGTGTATTTTCTGTAAGATATTGAATCACTACGAAAAAAGTGAAACCAGGGAGATGTAAAACATACATAAAATACTTCTCCCTGGTAAGACAAAACAAATATTTTTAATGTTTTATTCAAACATATTTGTCCAAGTAGTCTGATCACTAACAAAGCAACATTGGCAATGATGTGCATGTGTCTACTAGGTATGGATACAGAACTCAACAAATGATTGAGTAAGATGAACATAACATTTCCAGCTCATAATACAGTATCACTTTTATTTGAAAATTTAACACTTGATTTACCGTAATAATTTATTTAGTGATTAAACTACATACTGTGCTATTGTAGAAAGTTAAATTACGTTTAATAAAAAAATAAAAAACAAAATTATAAATTAATTAGTGCCATGCCGAACTTGGGGGAATCACCGCGGCTTGGAAGGCCATGCTAATATCGAGTGCTGAAAATGCTAGTTGTTAAGTATGACTGCGCATGCGTCGTTTCATCTACGTAAATATATCGTTTACTGTTTTGATTACGACGACGTAAATATATCCACTTCCTTATTTAATATCAGTATAGGCCTACATCTTTGTGCAGCCTACTGTATATTGTCGATCTTAATTGTAAAGTTAAACATTTTCTTTATTTCTTCTTTATATTGTGTTTTTGTCAGGAGTAAAAAAAAAAACCAAAAAAAAAAAACATAGCATCCATAGGCCGTTAATAATGGAGCTACTGTAAGTATTGGCGAAGATGGACACGAAAACTTAAAATTCAATATCCATTATCAGATCACCAGTCCTGAGCTGCAGTATGTGCTACCTGCCAACATACCAGTACTTTTTATGGAGGCATTATAATAATTTTGATCGGTTCTTGAAGATGGTCTTGTGCAAACAATTGGTGAGTTTTGTGAAAACAATAACAATAAGTAAATACTTTATTAAAGCGAATAGTAATATACAGACATATAATGTGATTGGGATTCCATTTCATCACTTGTCACAAGTTGGTCAATGGTAAGGATTAGATGATGTGCGCGTAAAATTAGATTTTATAATTCCATGATATAATAGTAAACAAAATACTACATTGTTGTCTTATGCTAATGACATTTTTAATTAAAGCATAATGTTTGTTATTTTTTTGTTTTTACTTTATTTTCTTTTATTTTAATTGGATTTTCTCTTATACACATCTAGATGTGTATAAGAGACTACCTGTACAGTAGTGTGCTGAATTTGTGATGTGCAGCCTGAGAGTCACCTTAACAGACTACATTATTTAAACTTGCACAACACATCTCATTTAAACTTATCACAGAACAAAAATTTCAAAATACATCGACTACTTCATGTGATGGAATTTGGTGCTATTATATAATCGTTTGTTTTATTTACATGGTAATTCACTTAACATATCTATATTATATTTTACAGTATTTTCAAGCCTTAAAACTTGTTTAACAACATTTAAATCTATCCTGAACAACTTTGTTTCCTGACTTCATCTGAACTGGATCAAAAAGTAGTAAGAGGTTTCAAAAGCTCAAGATTGTCAAAATCGGTAAGTTAATAGATTCTAAAAACCAAATGTTCGGGCGAGACTTTTTTATACCTTGTTTATCGAACCCGCCTACTACAAATGTTGATATTTTAAAAATAAAAATAAAATTTTATTTTTGAGCAATTAGCGTACCCACCACCACAAAAAAAAAGGAAATTGCAGTAAAAAATTAGTTTTTTAAAATTTTAATTTGCCCTCCACTGCCTTGACATCTCCAAAGATATACATATTTATATAAATTTTAGATATTTAACCATCCTACTTTACATTCACCAATAAAATTGTATATTTATTTTCTCCTCCGTCTGGATGTTTTAGGCAGACTCTTTGCTGAATAAAAAAACAAAATTTTATCTTTATTTTTAATCTGCCCTCCGATGATCTTTAGAAGAATAAGTACAGTACGCGAAACAAGGTATAAAGGAAGTCTCGCCTTAGCTACTGATGAAATAATATCCATGTAACATAACAATGTTTAGGATTACTGTGTGGATCTTTGCACTACATTGTTACTTTATTATTCGTAAAACCCAATCTTTTTAGCTTCTATAAATATATATTGAATTATAGGATGATACTCTTATTAATAGTACTCAACACATCCTTAATAAAATCATATTTAAGACAATCAAAGTGTTTAATAATGTAAAACCAACTAAACTTTCATGTGCAAAAAAATTTCACAAATACTGTACCATACAGAATTTATTAATATCGTATGTTAATGAGGATTGTAATTATCATGTAATTATTAGCTGTGTCTGGCCAGCTAAACCCTAGCAGATAGGCAGATTTATGCCTGGGCTTTTCTAGCCTAGAACTCATGATACGGTATTATCATCATAGATGATCTATAGTATGGTGTTCATCTCATGAATTATTATTATTAGAATAATACACCTTTAAAAAAAAAATGTGATGAGGGTCACAGGTTTTTTTTTATAACCGCATCAATATTTCTAAATAGTTAATGTGCGCAGGAGTGATAATCTAACAATTTTTTCATATGTGCCCTTGTCAATTCGCGAAAGTTTCATGTCACAAAAGTTTCTTGTTCATTAGTTGTAATGCTGTAATTTAACCTCTTTGAAATTTTTTGTGCACTAAGCCTCTTAGTTTTTACAGCCAGGCCTTGCTGAAGACTGAGTGGTTAATTCTAGGCAAATAATTGCGTTGCATTTATCTGTGATGCAATTGTGGAAGTGCTTAGCAATTACCGTAAAACATTCATATTTTGCGATGCGACACTGGGTAAATCGAACGCTGAAGCCCAGTAAAAATACTTTATC